GGCAACGGGTGACAGGACGTGCTTTTCCGAATTAATGAGAGAAAACATTGATTCTCCTGCTGCCCACGAAGGTGGAAAGTGAAGTGGGGAGACATGTGGGGAATGAGCAAGGTTCCCTGTCTGGGGGTTCCAAATCTGCTGTTGGTTTCTTTCACCTCTGACTAGAGATATACAGGGTGTCCCCCCAAAATGTATACACACTTTGAATACCTACTAATTCCAATGGTTTTAAGCATAAGAAAGAAACAACAATGGAGCTGTTATCTGTTAAATGTGTGGGCACAAACAGGCAGTTGGACATTCCCTGAGGGGTCTCAGATTGGAGAGCGTGAAGGCCAGACTGAGGGGCCCCTTTCCCCCCCTACCCCAGTGCACCGGGCTACTAGTGTTATTATAAACTTCCTTACAATACAGAAAAAAACATATCATTTGGAAAGTTTGGAATATTTTAAAAAACAACTATAGTAAGGTATAATTGAGATCATTGAAATATTGAATTGCACATGTTGAAAGTGTGTAATTTTATCACTTTTAACAAGTGTACATAAATAAAAATCCATCACTCCTCTGTTTTCACTTAGATTATAGTTCAGTCTTGGCTCTGCAGTTCAATAGCAGATGATCTTTGGAAAATAATTTAACTCCAAAATTCTGTTTGTTTATCTGAAAACTGGTGATAATATTAATATTAAGATACATTTAAAGTGTTTGGCAAATAATAAGCATATTATAACTTCTAGTGCTTTTATTTTTACCTAAGTAAATAATACCCAAAAGCTGCTTAAAATATTTTAAATTGATGTTGCTTTTTAATAAACTCAAAACTTATATATTTTTCTGGGCTAGGTGGGGAATTTAAATTTGTCAGAAGCAGGAATAGGGGATTTGTGAAGACAATGGGCAACTAGAGAGTAGATGCTCAATGATGTAAAAGCTTTCAAATTTAAAATTTTAGAAAAGAAGAAAAGGAATTATAATGGCCCTGCAAAACAAATCCACAGGATGTATTTAGCCACAGAACATAAGTTTTTTACCCCAACATTGTGAAGTTAGGGAAGGAGCTTCAGTTAGAGATTGACATGATTTAGCTTATGTTTTACAGACACAGTTGATTCTGGCTGTTTTAAGAAGAATAGATGGGAAGGGGGCAAGCAGAAAAGCAATGGAACCAATTAGGAAGCTATTATAACAACAACAATTTACATAAGGAGATAGGTTGGTTTAGAATAAATGAATAGCATAGATTGAGAGATGTGGATTAATTTGAGATGTGTTCTGAAGTTAGAATAGACATTTCTTTGTATGTCCACATTAAAAATTGAATTTTCTTAAAAGTTTTTATAAAGTCACTTAAAAAGGTAGTGATTTAAAAAAATATTTTTAAAAAATATATTTTATTGATTTTTTACAGAGAGGAAGGGAGAGGGATAGAGAGTTAGAAACATCGATCAGCTGACTCCTGCACACCCCCCACTGGGGATCTGCCCACAACCAAGGTACATGCCCTTGACCAGAATCGAACCTGGGACCTTTCAGTCCACAGGCCAACGCTCTATCCACTGAGTCAAACCGGTTACAGCGGAAGTAATTTTTTTAATTTGACATTGATTCTTTGATTCTCCCAGTTGAGATAGGGTGGGGGGCTCAACCAGGGTGGAAAAGTACTGAACATAGCTTGTAACGTGAATCAGACATAGGGGAAGACCAGACTTGAAAAACAAGTCCAGATAAGAGTGACATCTGGGGAAAGAAGGAAGTTGAGCAAAGCCTGTCAGGGAGAAGAATAGCTTTAGCAAAACGGCAGGAATTCCGCCAGAGTGGCATCTGGGGAAAGAAGGAAGCTGAGCAAAGCCTGTCAGGGAGAAGAATAGCTTTAGCAAAACGGCAGGAATTCCGCCTGGCCCTCGCCCAGGGGGCGGGCTGTTAGTGTAGTAGCCAAACAATAGGAATAGGATAGATCAGCCAAGGTTGGGAGGGGTGATAAAAGGAGGGACTGCCCCTCCGCCCTTCGCCCTTCGCCCGGCGATTGCCTGCTGCTGTGTCAGCTACGGCAGGGGCCCAGATCCGGATCTGTAATTAATAAACGCTTGCTTGCTCAAACCATCTATGAGTCGGTGGTCTGTCTCTGGGGGACTCGCTCTGTAACACCAGTTATGTTTTTATATGAAAGTCTTATCCAAAATGAGCTGGATTAGTTTATGCTACCTCCCAGAGGGAAGTTGGCACACTGCCAACTGGGCTGGGCCCCATTGACTTTCAGTTTCCTTTTCTCTGAATCTCTGACGCCTCTGCTATTGTTTTATGCCTGCCTCGCTGTCCAGACAGAGCAACTACTCTCAGCCTCAGCCCCTGTATGGATTCTACAAACAGGTAAAAGACCTGCTGTTTTCCACTTTTCCTAGCCACTTGTAAACAATAGCCTTTAAAAAATCTTTCTAAAAATAATAATTTAGAATGTTTTTTTTTCTTGCTGTCCACCCTCGTTTACACATTCCATGTGAAATGTAGAGTAAATAAGAGGCATAAATGCAAGGTTTGTGACAGTACATATTATCTGTTTTTCAATACTTATGGAAAATATGTTTGATTTTCCACTAGGTTGGGAAATATGGCAACTCGTTTGACGTGGATACAAGAAAAGAAACTGCAAAACCTTGTGAAAGGGAAGTTTAGCCTTCTTTATAGGGCTAGTGTCCATGGATTTGCTGATACCAATTTGATGAGGAGATGCTATAATGAAGGACCCACTCTACTAGTGATTTACAGTTCTGATCATGTTTTTGGGTCATATATACCCCAGAATGACAAAAATAATACCAGAGTTTCCTGCCTCCTTTTTGCCTTTGAAGAGACTAAAATTTTAAGATGTGAAATTGGACCACATGATTTGAGTGATTATGTTTATCACTATGGTAATAAAGGGGAATTCCTGATGGATCTATCAGGAAAAAAAGTGACTATGAGCTTAGATACAATTAAAAAATTAAAACTATCTCAACATCAGACAATATCTTTTGAAGAATGTGAAGTTTTTCGATGTGAAGGTAAGTTTGACTACATAATCTTAGAATTATCTTCTGCATGCTGACCTATTTCTTTAAGGAAAAATGACCTTTTACTTGTCCTTATTTCTAGGCGACTCAGACTGAAACCTGGTCACAAATTGATGGCTAAGACACAACCATAGTCCAAAGTAGCATATGCAGAGTTTTTTGAAATGTGTTTGTGGGGAGGAGGAGGAAATGTGAAAGAAGGAGAGAGAGAGAGAGAAGCAAATATAAAGATTGTGAGATTCTCTTGGAAAAAAAAACAAAAGCCAGAGCCTGAGCTTCTGTTGATTGGTACTCGGTCCTTTCTGATGCAGGTTTCCATTATATCCAAAGACCAAAATTCATTTGCCTTTTTTCTACTTAAGAACATTTAAATTGTTTCCAACATTTGCTGCTGTAAACAATGCTCCTGTGATATCTTTATGCATAAAGCTGTGGACAAAAAATACTTTAGGGCAGTGGTTCTCAACCCTCCTAATGCCGCGACCCTTTAATACAGTTCCTCATGTGGTGGTGACCCCCAATTTCATTGTTACAAATTGAACATAATTAAAGCATAGTGATTAATAACAAAACAATATGTAATTATATTTGTGTTTTCTGATGGTCTTAGGCGACCCCTGTGTAAGGGTCCTTTGACCCCCAAAGGGGTCGTGACCCACAGGTTGAGAACCGCTGCTTTAGGGTAACTTTCTGGAACTGGAATTGTTGTTTAAGAGTTATTTACATTTACATTTTGATAGACTTTTCAAAAACTTCAGTTGTCTATACTACCCCCAAGAGTGTTACGAAATGCCTATTTTCCTGCATCCTTTGCCAAACTTCAGGAAATTTGCCCATTTGATGGTCAAAAGATGGTATTTCTCTCTCTCTCCCCTTAACATTCATCACTAACAAGTTAATGTGTATTGTTTCCTTTTGGATGTTAAAATTATTTGAGAGAATGCTTTTTAAATTCCCAAGAGTTTGCTTTTTTGTTTGTTTAACCCGTTCTTTTCTAGTTTTACTATATTATAGTCATTGAGTGAAGTCTTTACTATTTCCACTTCTTGTTTTAAAGAGGTTTTCTTTGTAACCATACATATAGCTATATTATAAATGTCCCATACAGTATGCTTATTTTGTAGAGGGTTGCATCACTACACCTAATTATTTCAGTTTTAAATCCACCATAAAAGAGTCTCCCTTTTAAGCATCAAAAGAATTCTTGGCCTGAGCCTCATTGGTACAAATGAAGTCCCCAGGCCACCCCTGAACCTCTCACTGTGCTCTGCTTGAATAGGAATGAGTCCCACATGCTCTTCTGAAGTCATGAATAAAATTATAAATTCCAGAAGCTTCGTTATTGACAGTAACTTTTGGAAAAAAATCTTGTGCCTGTGTTTTTTGTGTTTTTGTTTGTTTGCTGTTGTTTTTTTTTTTTTTTTTTTTTTTTTTTTTTTTTTTTCCGTGTGCGTGTCTGTAAATTATCCCTTTCAGACATAGGGCTATGGAGGAGAAATTAGAGCATTCCCAGTCTCTCCTTGCCTGTGCATGCTTCTAGGCCTTGCTTTTCTGATTCGGAAAGAATCCCCGCCCTCACCTCCCATGTGGGAGTGGGCCACACACTATTGCTGAGTAATTGGGTAAGAAACCATCTGCAGACATCATAGTCTTCCAGTGCTCACCTTGCCTTTCGCCTCTTCAAATGAGGTGATGTTCAGGATATTTGCCATAATTTTCTTCAAGTGCTTTTTACTATAGTGCACTGTTCTCACAAAAAGGCTATTTTGGTATTTTTTCATTGACATTCATTCAGTCAGCCAACCATTCAACAACTTGTAACCTTCATTATTCTTTAATTATTTCCTCAGATTTATTGGACACAAGGAAGATGGACGGGGTTGCTGAGTAAGTCAGTGTTTTTAAAGTTCTATTATTCTGTTTATTATCTTAAACTTATATTATAGATTCTGTTAATAAAATTGGTAGCACAAATTATGACAGATAACTTGTGGATCACTATCCACAAGAATAAACTATATAATTATAAAGCTATTTGATAATACTAATGTTAAAACCAAAAGAACACCACCAGAGGGAAGACATTTCTAATTTTTGATATACTTGAAGGAAAATAATTATTTGGCTGTATGTATACATTTTTTTGCTAAGAATTCTTGCAGTTGCATTTTCAACTCTTTTAGGTACTTGCTATGGAAGGGGTGGTTGGTAGATGGGGAAATAACCTATTATGAATTTCAAGAACATGGTAGGAATGGTTTCCTTCCATAAACTTCAAAAGTCACAAATTATGTTGTGGTTTTGAGTTTTATTATTCACTAGAGGCCCAGTGCATGAAATTCATGCACTGGTAAGGTCCCTAGGCCTGGCTGGTGATCAGGGCCAATTGGGGCCTTCCAGCTGCTGGTCGGGGCCTCCCTTCCCCAGCTGCTGGCTGCCTACCGGGGCCTCCGTTCATTTCACGCTGCCCCCTGGTGGTCAGTGTACATCATAGCGAGTGATCAAACTCCTGGTCTCCTGTCGAACTCCCTAGGGGACACTTGCATATTAGCCTTCATACACACAGACACACACACACACACACACACACACACACACACACACACACACACACACTGGAGGCCCAGCACATGAACTTCATGCATGGGTAGGGTCCCTAGGCCTGGCCTGAGATCAGGGCCAATCTTTCCTGGCTGCCGGCAGCCAGCAGCTGGCCCCACCCCTTGGCACCGCTGCTGGTTGCCCTTTGTGTGTGGGGTGACCAGTGGGGTGATTGGGGCCCAGGCGTCTCCCATGTCTGCTGCCACCATGCCCAGTTCCTGGTTCCCCATCGGGCGATAAGAACCTGGTGGCCGGGGAAAGGGCCTGAGAGGTTGGCCGTTCCCGCCTGCTTGCTGGCCCCACCTCCTGCTGCCACCAGTCACCCTCTGTGTGTGGGGCAACTGGTGGGGTGATCGGGGCCCCAAGGCTTCCCATGTCTGCTGCCACCCACTCCGGTTTCGGTTTCCCATAGGGCAATTGGGGGGGGGGGGGGAGAGACAGAGAGGTTGGCAGGCAGGCCCCTATCAGGCAATCAGGGCCTGTGGGCTGGGGGTAGTTCCAGCATTGCACGGTGGGATACAGAGCAGGGGGTCGAGGACTTGAAAGCCACAGCTGGCAGAGTCCCACCTCCCGCTAAGGCTGGCCCGAGTGGGGGATGGGCAGGGTTTTCTTGGAAACAAAATGAACCAAGGTAGGTGGGGGTGGGTCAGGCCTAGCAGGTGCATCCCCAGGGGTCCTTTTCTCTCTCTGGGCCTCATTGTCCCCTTGTGCTCACTGTAGGGGACAGTGAGCGTCTGCCCCCTGGTGGTCAGTGTGCGTCATAGCCGACTGGTTGTTCTGCTGTCCAGTTGATTTGCATATTATGTTTTTATATAGAGAGATAATTTATTTTCATGTTTAACGTAGTTGATATTGAATTCTAAGTTTACATGGTCTGCTTGCTTAAATCTGAAAGATTTTATGTCTGAATGGCCTTAGTTAAAAGTGTAATTTTTGCTTTTTCTTCTTTTACAATAGGATTTAAGGTAGGATAATTTTATGTCTTCTTATATAAGAAAGCAAATTGATCATCAAAAATAAATAATAATGTGTAAGGAAAGAAAAGAAATTCAAGGAAAATTTATGCTAAGGTCTTGTGATCTAACCTCAGTCAACTGTTAAAATGGTCTTGTCTAAACAGACTCCGGGGGAGCTTACTGTCTGCCATAAGAACTTACAAACCATCTAGGGACCTGGTTCACCAAATTCGAATTCTGCTCCTGGGCCCGATTGGAGCAGGGAAGTCTAGCTTTTTCAACTCAGTAAAGTCTGTTTTACGAGGCCATGTAACCCACCAGGCTTTGGTCGGCTCTGACAGAACTGGGATATCTGAGCAGGTGAGTCCATTCTAGGTCACTCAGCTTTTGCTATTTTGTTCAAGTTAGATTTGAAAAGTTTTTTTTTTCCTGATCAACTTCATTACATGTACATACACTTCAACTATATATAAATAAAATGAACTCCTAAAGTTCCTTTCTTCCTTCTTTGCAGTACAGGACATATTCCATTAAGGATGGGAAGGATGGCAAGTCCTTGCCATTTATTCTGTGTGACTCAATGGGGCTGAGTGAGGAAAATGGGCTGTGCATGGATGACATACCCTACATCTTAAAAGGCCACGTTCCTGACAGATACCAGGTATAATTTGACAATTATTGAAGAGTTATAATTGATATTTAAAATGTTTCTTTTTGTCCACTATTAGGACATAAGACTCTAGTCTAGTTAGTGCATCAGCATTTATTTTCTTAAACTATAGTGGTTCAAGATCCTTTGTTTCTTTTGATATTTTATTTTACAAGGAATTAAAACATCCAAAAGTCTCTTCTATCATAGCTGTCATAACAATTCTGAATGCTGTTACACACTCAATTGTTTTTGGCTATTCAACTTACTCACATAGGTAATCTTTGTTATGTAGCAGGAAGTCTGAAGGTAGGTAGCTTTGGGCCAGTGTGTCAGCTCTTCGAGGTTATAATTTTCAAGATCCTTTTGTCTTTCTGTTCTGAGATCCTCAGCATAGAGTGCTATGGATTGAATGTGTTCCTTCAAAATTCATATGTTAAAGCCCTCTTCCACAATGTGATGATATTTGGAGGTGGGCCTTTGGAAGATGATAAAATCATGGAGTAAAGCCCTCAGGAATGGAATTAGTGTCCTTATATAGGAAGACACAAAAGAGAGATGGTCTCTCTCTCTCAGCCACATGAGGACACAGCAAGAAGGTGGCTTTCTACCAACTAGGAAGGGAGCTCTCATTAGACAAATCTGTCAGCAAAACCTTGATCTCCAGAACTATGAAAAATGAGTATTTGTTGTTTAAGCCACACAATATCATAATTTCTTATAGCAGCCCAAGATGGCTAAAACATGTGACTTTTTTCTTTAAAAATAGGTTTTTATTGATTTTAGAGAGAGAGATAGTGAAATAGAAACATCAATTAGCTGCCTCCTGCACGCCCCCTACTGGGGACTGAGCCCACAACCAGGGAATTGGTAACCTCTTGGTTCATAGGTGGATGCTCAATCACTGAACCACACCAGCTGGGCACTGATATGTGACTTTTATCCTCCTGCTCTCAAGATGTTTACGCTGAGCACTGTTAGTGTTCCAGGCAAGAGGAAAGGGGAGATTAAAGAAAAGAGGTAGTCTGTCTTTTTAAAAAACTTTCCAATTCTTTTTGTAAATATTTAGATCTTGAGTTATTAATTAATTTACCTTATTCCAAATGAATAGTCAATTGTGGCAATATCTTTCATTGAACACTTTTGCCTCTTTTTCCTAACAAAAATAGGGATTGGTTTTTGTATCCTGTAGTTTGTTCTATTGATGTATTTATACATTTCTTTATTATGTTCATTACCATGTTGTTTAATTGTTTTAGTTACTGTAGCAACCCAGTATATCTTAATAACTCACTGGACAAGCAGTACTCAATATTTATTTCTCACATTTGTTTTCCTTGACCATTTTCACATATATACTTTTCCAAGTGAGCTTGTTTGTATTTTATTTGATTGTTTGTGTTTTATTTGTTAGTGCTTTGAGTAAAATTGCATTAAAATTTCATACTCAAAGTTGTTTCACATCTTCACATATCCAGTGTTCCTATCCAGAAACACAGTATGTTTTATATTAATTTATATTATATTCATTTTATTTTATATTCTTTTATTCTTTAACATAGAGCTAAATGAATATATATATATACACACACACAAATATATATGTGATATGTATATCTTTTTTTCACAACATACAAATCACAGATTTTTATTACTAAAGTCCACACACATTATTAAACATAACTGTAATATCTTTATCACATCTGGATTATTCCTTAATTTTTACTTAAATAATTATCAAATATCACCCAAACTGGACAAATTTCTAATTGTCTTATAAGCACCATATTATGCATCTTTTAAAACAGTTTTTAAATAATGATTCAAAAGACTTATTCAGCCTCTTTTAATTGCAAATTTTGCCTCTATCTCTTTTGGCATTTTTACTTGCAATATGATTTTTAAGAAATCTGTTTGGTTATTCTATAGACATATACTTTCCCATAGTATGAAATTTGCTGTTTTCATCACTTGATGTAGTTTTATTTTTTATGTATCCTGAAAATTGCTAGATGAATATAGACACACATTCAGATTCAGGTCGGCTTCATAAGATGGTGTTGTGCTCTTCCATGAAAGCCACCCAATTTTGAACCTTCTCACTTTTGTAATATAGGTTTCATGAACATTCAACACCTAGATACCTTTATTTATTAGGGTATGAAAATAGTGATGTTCTATCTCTATCATTGCTTCTTCATTTCACATGTGTGAAAGACAACTTCCCCTCACCCACTATTTGATTACTTAGTGGTACAGTTAATACCATTAATATAGGATGGTCAGAATATCTGCTTGATTTTTTTATAAGCTTTTGAAATAATAAGTTGGTTTCTTTACATCTGCCAACACTGACCAGTGATTATTTTATTATCATTATGAACTCATGAATTGAACATATTTGATGTGTTTCAATGCACTGTAGTTTATCTACATAAAGATGTCAAATGTAACATCTTTGACCACTAGGAGCTGCTACAATTTAGATTCTGAGTTCTGTTGACATAAAAATCTGCTATATTCCTTGAATTCTTGTATGACTATAAATATAAACCATATTTTGTATATTTACAGTCCAGATTTTGAGTCAGTTACTTCTCTAAGACATATTGGTTTGGTTTAGTTTGGGTCATTAGAACTGTTCATTGCTATTTAGTGGATTGTTGGTTCTTGCTTTTTTTAGTGGACAAATCTAAATATAGATACAGGACTATATAGTTTTTACTTAATCTCTTTTATCTTGCATCAGTATCTGCTTTATCTGAACAGAAAATCTCTAGTCTGAAGGATACTAGAGATGACAAAATATGTCACAACTCATTTGCTTTATATCACATAATATTCACTGTAATCTCAGAAATAATTATCTAACACTACCATGAATGATCTAATCATAATTATATTTAATATCAAAAGAATAAAAATAACCAATAAATATTGGAAACTTTTAAATTCTTAGCAGATTTTTTATATTGTGTTTAGCACATAACATGTAGTAGGAGTACACAAATTACTGTGTTTTAAAGTCAATCAGACATAGCTTCTTTCTGTGTAGATATGACCCCAGTTGGATGCAAAAGTTAAGTCATTTAATTCAATTTAGAGATTGCTTTTTAAATTTAATTTTTTTATATTTATATATATGTTTATAATTTATATGGTTCTAAAGTCAAATCTACAAAATAAGGTATATTCAAATAATCCATCTTCCTTCTCTGTTACTTCAAATGCATTTCTCCCTGCTTCCTATAAGTATCCATATAAGAAGTTATGATTTACTTCCATTTTTTAATATATTATAAAATAAAGATTTGTGGTTTCCTCTTTTTCAGAGAAGTAATAGAACACTATATGTCATTGATGTAACATAATTTTGCTGCTACAAATAGTCCTGAAGTTAATAGACTTAAACATACATTTGTGGGACAGATCACCAGAAGAGGATTTCTAGTTTCAGAGTAAATGCATCTCATTTTGTACCACTTCCCCCCTTGTATTCTGCCTGATGATACCAATTCCACCTTTGCCCACATTGCTTCTTCTATCTAGGATACTTTCTGTCATATTCTTATTCTCTTATCCAGATGAACTCACCTGTGTTATTTTTATGTTTGCTTTTGTTTTTGACCTTCCTATGACATGTCCCTTCTTCTCAGAAGCTTTTTCTATGAAAGTACTTGCATAATGACTGTCTTCTCTACCAGACTGTTATCTTCATACTATTAAAGACTTGTTTGTTATGTTCACTGTTTTATTCACTTGCACAGTGCCTGATACATAGTATGTGCTTATAAATATTTCTTGAATTAATATGTCCCTTTATGTTTACCATACAGTTTAATTTCATGAAACCAATCACACCAGGTCATAGTAACTATATTGACTTCCCATTGCTGGAGGACAGAATCCATTGTGTGGCATTTGTGTTTGATGCCAACTCTATTGAGCAACTCTCTGATGAGATGGTAGCAAAGATCAAGAAAGCTCGAAGGGAGGTGATAAAGTGTGGTGAGTCTTATTCCACTGTACTTCTAAGGCTAACTGATTAGACTATATTGTAGAATGGATTTGAACAGGATGAAGAACTTATGAAAATGCATATTTAAATATTCCCTGGCCCATCAGTGTGGTTCATTCAAATCAAGTACCCACTAGCTGTATGTCTTTGTGCAAGTGATTTAAACTTTCTATGCCACAGTGTCTTAATCTATAAAATTAGTATAACAATGGAGGTTTTAATGTAAGGATTAAACAAATTAATTTATATGTAGAGTTTAGTACAGTCCTCACTGCATCTTAGCATGCATTTATTTACCAACAGTCCTAGACTTCCCTTTGGGCCTTAAAGGATTAGAAAGAGGAAAACACATTTTAGTAAGAAAAAGAGAGGAAAATAAGATGCTTGATAAAAAGAGGTAGCATAAAGGCTTTGGAGAAGGTAAGCAGGATTAGGGAATTAAAGTGCCCCACACTGCTTTTTCTTTTCTTTTCTCTTTTCTTTTCTTTTCTTTTCTTTTCTTTTCTTTTCTTTTCTTTCCCTTTCCCTTTCCCTTTCCCTTTCCCTTTCCTTTTCTTTTCTTTTCTTTTCTTCTTTTCTTTTTTCTTTTCTTTTCTGTTCTTTTCTTCTTTTCTTTCTTTTCTCTTCTTCTCTTTTCATATATTTTTATTGATTTCAGAGAGGAAGGGAGAGAGAGAGAGCAAGAGACAGAAACATCAATAATGAGAGAGAATCATTGATTGGTTCCTCCTGCATGCACCCTACTGGGGATGGAGCCTGCAACCTGGGCATGTGCCTTGACTGGGAATCAAACTATGATCTTCTGGTTCATAGATGGACGCTCAACCACTGAGCCACGCCGGCTGGGCCACAGTGGTTTTTCTTGTCCTTATTATTCATTTTGTTTGGGAAAGAGTCAGTTTATCACAGATTTGATGAAGTTAGAAGCAGGGAGTGATTGACTTATTTGCTCACTGAAATTTAAAACCTTGAAAGGGTGGTGTGCAGAGATGTGCCTGCTACCATTGTGATATAGGAGAAGTTTATTTGCAATATTTCAACATATTCTGTTTCCTTGAGGCCTCTTCTCCATCTTGTTTATTAGAGCCCTTTGGCCTTTCTATAGTTTTCATAAAAACACAACTGTTGGGTAAGATATAAAATCAATCATCAATACTGTAGCATACATTTTAGTTACCTCTTCGAAGAGGTGGTTTCCTTTGAAGCCTGACTTCTTACCATGGGAGGCAATGAAGGGACTTCCTATGTCAGGAAAATTCCAGGTACCAGTAAGTAGTTCAGAGGGATTTTTTTGTGTGTCGAGGGGTAGGGAACCTCCCCAAATTTCTGAATTTGTTCCATAGTTAGTTTATTGCATAATTGATAGCTGATTAACTGAAAATAATACTGATGCTGCCTATAATAATAAAAACAATATCTATCTATCTGGCATAGGCGTGGTACATGTGGTTTTACTCACTTGTGTGGATAGCATGGATCTGATTATGAAAGGAGACCTTATAGACATATACAAATGTATGCCTGTGAAGCTCAAGGTAATGAACGCTGTCATTTGTAAACACATTTTCTGGTATGTCCCTATAATCACATGATATTACTTTGTATAAAAATAGATACTTGTGAAGTTTAAGAATATTTGAAACAATTGCTTGGATAATTCAGACTTATTTTCTAAGTTTTAAATATTAAGTATTTATCTTTCTGCTGACAGATAACTTATATTTATTACAATTTAATTCAATTAGGTTCAATTCAACAAATGTTTGTTGATTACCTGCAATGATTGAGCCAGTGTGATAGTCTCTAATCAGATACACAGATAATTGAAATAATTCCCCTGTGCTAAAAGCTTGCAGCTTTATAGGTGGAGGTGAGGGGATAGGGGAATTAGAGGAGAAAAAGTTGACAAAAGAATATGACATGATATGATCGAGTATAATAAATATCGTGGAATTATGAAAAATAAAATGCGGTGAAAGTTTAGATGAGGAAAATATTGAGCTAAAGGTCGGGGGGGGGCGGGATTTTGTTACTGGGGTGGCACTAGGATATGGCTTTTAAGGTGGAGGAGTATTTTAGGGGGGAAAACTCAGGCCATGGGGACAGCATAAGTAGCATTTCAGGAAAAAGTAGCATTTCAGGAGGCATAGAGTGTTCAGTTTAGTGGAGGGCTGGATCACTGTAGGGAAAGATAAAGTGAGAAAGAAACATTTGCATGAGGTGATTTTACTTAATTAGGTGCATTATGGGGAAGCACAGCAACTTTTTAAAAGAGTAGTGATGTGAACAAAGTCAGCTTCACAAAATTTAATCTGACACCTATGTGAAGAATAGATTAGAGTCAAAAGGAGCATCAAGGTGGGAACACCAGTTGGGAGAATATAATGATAGCTAATATTTGTTAAGCACTGATTAAGTGATCGGTTTTCTTATTCAGTACTTAAAACAAGCTGATGAGGTGGGCATTGTCATTACCATATTTGGTAGATGAGAAAACACAAGTGCACAGAGAAAAGCATTTGCCAATGCTTATTGACAGTGCTAAGAGGTGACAGAGCCCTGTATTTATCCCAGGAAATCTGGTTGCACAGATAAACTAGTCTAATTAAACATCAGTACTGTACACTTGAAACTAATATAAAATTATCAAATGTCAGTTGTAATTGAAAAATGAAATGTAAAAAAATAAATTTAATATCAGCATTAAACAAATAAAATCACCTTATCCTAAGAATAACTTTTAAAAGAAAAGAGGGAAATTATGGACTTTAATGTAAGTATATTAAAAATGCTTCAATTTCAAAGTAGTTTATATAGAACCATGTTATCTTTAGATTTTAATTCATATTGAATCTGTTCTATGTTCTATGTATTCTAAGTGAAAATTAGCAGTGATGTTAGAACTTGACTTGTGAAGTTCTTTAGAAAAAGTATTTTATGGGCCAGATCTCTATCTCCGTTTCTCACAGTAGGAAAAATATTGTCAAGTGCCTACCTTTGTTATTGCTTTCATAATTTATATTGACATTAAGTGGTGTTTTTCACTGTTTTGAGATTTCTGGGTTTTAATTTCTGTATTTCAGCAAGAGGAAGTCCACAAAAAACTTGGATTTGCTCTTTCTGACATCTTGGTGGTCAGTAATTATACCTCAGAGTGGAATCTGGACCCTATAAAGGACGTCCTGAACCTCTCTGCACTGAGACAGATGCTGTGGGCAGCAGATGACTTCTTAGAGGATCTGCCTCTTGAGGAAACAGGTAAATGCATTTGATGGTAGAGAAACTTGAAGATGTCCGTATTGTGGCTACTTCCTGCTTGGATCTATTGGGTACCTGACAATTCTGTGTCTCTGTGAGTTGCTGCCCTGTGAGTAATCCTGCCCTTTAACCCATTGGTGGGATATGTTTTTTCCCCTCATATTTCTTGATCCTTCCACCCCCACTCAGGGTACAACCTAGAGGATTTGACTACTTTTCCTCCCCTGGTCTTGTTTTAAAATGAAATTTTTGAAATGATGCAGCTCTATCATGCCCACTGTCTGAACATCCCAAGCTGTATCCTTGCCCTCATCTATCAAAACGTACTTCTTTGCTTGGGACCTAGATTTGGATTGGATCAGCATTGTTCCTCATCTGATGTGATCTTTGCTTATTTGGCTTTTCCTTGAGACCTTATGCTTCTGTCTCTTTGACTTGACTTTTGAAAACTCCCTCCTTTGAGTCCTCTCAATGCAGTGTGGCTGGTGCTAGGTAGAGGTAGGTACCTTTCATATGCATGCCTCAGATTTGAGCATTATGTGTATTCTCTGTTACCAAACTGTGCACAATACACACTGTACTGTTCCAATCAAAGTTGAGATAGAGTTTCAGTTTATTCTCAAATATTATTTTAGTTCTGGGAAATCAAATTAGAATATCATATCCTTTCTAGTTCTCTCATTCACACACTACTGGGAAACACTCAAACTATTAACTTCGCTGTCCTGACTCTGTGCCATCTTGGTTTCTCCATTTCTTCTCTCCTCATGGTGCATGCACTCCCAAAGTCAGGATTAACTTAGACCCTAGTAGGCCAATGTTCCTCTTCCTTCTGGTTGCATTTCCTAAATAATGTATTAAGAATATTTTGTCTCTCTTTTCTCAGCTATCAGAGGAAAGCACTAAGTGTGCTAGAGAAAAAATAAATATGTGAACCCTTCACATATTAAAACTTATCAGAGAAGAGAAAACATAGAGAAGTGAGAAACCAGGAAAAAGACAAGTAGATGAAGATGAAGGGGTGTATTTTACTTATGGCTTGGATGAAGATACACAAAAAATTTATAATACATATAAATAACTTGGAACAGCTGAATTTAAAGTTGTAAAAAACAATCATAATCTTTTTGGGTGTATGCTCTATACCTGTGAAAAATTAAAGTTTCTTATAAAACCTGTGTGTGTGTGTGTGTGTGTGTGTGTGTGTGTGTAATTTTGGAAAAAGTTTATTTTGATACTAGTGACCCGGTGGATGGATTTGTGCACATTGAAAGGAAATTAATTAGAAGGTGGCCAGTGGGGTGGGACTGGGCGAGATGGACTGAGTGAGGTCCCTCCAACAGGTGGGTTCCCTCGGCCTGGCCTATGAGGATTGGGCTGAAACTGAGTCTCCAATATCCCCTGAGGGGTCCTGGAGTGCGAGAGGGCACTCTGCAAAATTGCTGTCATACAGGGTGTGGAACGCAAATACAAGTGTGCAGTGAATCAGGTTCAGGGCTGACAGTGCCCCAGCAACAACATAACCCATGGCCAAAGGCAGAATCGTGCAGCCTTATGAGGAATCAGGCTCCCTCCTCTCTGGTTTTGGGGTGCATTATTCAAGAACCACCACTGCCAAGTCAATGCAGCATAGCAGCTCCCGCGTTGAATGTCTTCCCCCTTGTGGTCAGTGAGCATATAGTAATCAGTTGGATGGAGGGAGGGCCACTTAGCATATTAGCCTTTTATATATAAACTAGGAGTCCAGTGCACAAAATTAGTGCACTAGGGGATGTCCTACTGATGGCTTAGGCCCGCTGGAAGCAGGCCTAAGCTGCAGTCTGGCCTCCCTCTGTGGGAGGTGACCTGGCTGATCAGGGGAAGGCGCCAGGCCCATCACTCTGCTGCTGCAGCCACTGCCAACCACCACAGCCGCCAAGGTGTTTTCATCAACACGGACTCCAGTCCCTTCACCATGAAAAAATGGAAACTTCCTTTAGGCATTTTTCAAGATGTTTCTTTCATAGGATATGACATTCCTTTCTTCATTTTTATCCTCAACTGAGGATATGTTTCTATTGATTTTTAGAGAATGTGGAAGAGAGAGGAGAAGACAGAGAGAAACATCAATGTGAGAGGGGCACTTTGATTGGTTGCCTCCTGCATGAGCCCTGACCTGGGCCCAGGCCAGGGAGGAGCCTGCAACCTAGGTACATACCCTTGATCAGAATCAACCCGGACCCTGCGGTGGGCAGGCCGAGCCTCCATCCACTGAGCCAAACCGGCTAGGGCAGGATATGACATTTCTTAGCCCTCCAGCAGCGGACCTTTCTTTTTTCCTCCAGGAGTGAGGTGGAAAAACCCTAGATCACCTTTTTGGATTCCTTTTACCCAAGTTACCAAGAACATTACCAGTGGCGTACAGGAGACTTAGCCAATGAGCTGTCAGAAAAGGTGTTTCTCTTGCAGCTCACCTGCAGAGGCAGGACTGCTGGCAAGCCTAGGCTGGCACACTCCCTGTCTCTGGGCCTGCTCAAGCCTCCAGTGTGGCTTGGGCAGGGCCCCCCAGTTCTGCTCAAGCCTCTGCCAAGGCTTGGGCAGGACCTGCCGGCTCTGATGAAGCATCTGCCACGGCTTGGGCAGGCCCACCCTCCCTCCCCCCCGCTTTGATCAAGCCTCCTTTGTGCCTTGGGCAGGGACCCCCTGGCTCTGATCAAGCCTCTGCTGGGGCTTGGGAAGGGCCCCCCCTGCTTTGATCAAGCCTCCTCTGTGCCTTGGGCAGGGACTCCCTGGCTCCGATCAAGCCTCTGCTGGGGCTTGGGCAGGGCCCCCTGGCTCTGATCAAGCCTCTGCTGGGGCTTGGGCAGGGCCCCCCGGCTCCAATCAAGCCTCTGCCACTCCTCTCTGGTCCTGCTCAAGCCTCTGTTGCCACTCCTCTCTGGCCCTGCTCAAGCCTCTGTTGCCCCCCCCAACCCCCCACCAACCATGGCGCCAAGGCCCGTAGGCCAGGAGTGGTCAGGGGTGTTCTGGGACCAAGGCTGCTTAGGGCCTATGCTGGGGCCTGCAGGCTCTGAGCTGCCTGGGACCCTAGGATGTTCCCGGGACCTAGGCCACTGGGCAACTGCATATGCAAATTAACCCAATATCTTTGCTGGGTTAATTTGTATACTCACTCCTGATTGGCTGGTGGGCATGGCTGGTGGGCTTGGCTTGTCAATTTGCATGTTTTTCTTTTATTAGATAGGATGACTTGTCAGCATCTTTGGATCTTTACCCATGTCATCCTGTTTTTTGCCTTCTTATTTTATTTCTAAAGTATCTCATTGGGTCCTCAATTAATGCTTTATTCTTTAACCCAAAGCCATGTTTTGTTTAATATCCAAGCCTCTCTTGCAGGATGTGGCTATTAATATCAATTAATTCCATAATACCACAGCTGAAAGAAACTATTATTTGATTGTTCTGAAATTACAACTATTTTAGTTATGTGACAAAACTCAACCGGAACTACATGAATAAAAAAATTAAAAAAGAGGAGTATAGTATTGGATTAAGGAACCAAACCATAGAAAAGGCTGGGATTGAACTGAACGTGCCTCAGAGATGGTTGAATCTAGGGATTCAAAAGCTACTCTCTCTTTTCTCTCTCTCTCTCTCTCTCTCTCTCTCTCAACAGCAAAAGATTAAACAGCAAAGATTATTCAAGCAGCAATTGAGTTTAAGATATCAGAGGATATACATGTGGCAAACCATAGGCAAGTCTGAGGAGACAAAAAAGAGGTCAGCTTTTATTGAGTTTAAGGAGAAAATTAGGGAGAGGTTGTGGTGGTGTCTTATTGCTGGCTGGTAGTCAGCTGCCTGCTGTTGCTCAGGAAGGAGGCTAGGCAGCTGGTCACTAAGGAGGCAAACAGGGAGGGAATCTCCCTTCTTCCTCATGCTTGTATAAGCTGCAGGTGCTGGTTACATAAATGGTGAGGGGTGAGTGCGTGAGAGCTCTCCTTTCATGGCTTCCTGAATCCATTTTTCATGAGGGTTCCATTTTCACATTTCCTCCCTTCTGATCAAGATCTTTCTTAGAAAGCATTGGGATCAAGAGTCAGGTTTGTCTGTATTTAGTGGTTTTGTTCATTGGTGCTAGGAAGGACCTTTCCTGGTTGTCATGGCCCGTGTCAGAAGAAAAGTACATAGTGATTGGAAACCATTTAAGGCTACATTTGAATAACAAGGAAGGTAGAAAAGGGAACTCTTAGGCATTTCCCACTCAATGTTTATATCTTGCAAGTATCAGAGATCATCTTGAAGTGTTGGGCTAACATCATCCTATTCAGTGTATTGCTTCTACAGAGGTTTGATTAGCAAACAGGCACAGAGTTTAAAAATGATTACACACAGCCCAACCAGCATTGCTCAATGGTTGATCATCGACCTATGAACCAGGAGGTCATGGTTTGATTCCCGGTTGGGGCACATTCGGACTCGATCCCTGGTGTGGGGGGTGCAGGAGGCAACCGATCAATGACTCTCTCTCATCATTGATGTTTCTATCTTTCTCTCTCTCTCCCTTTCTGAAATCAATTATATATATGTATATATATAGTATATAATGATTACATACACACAAAGAACGAGGAACAGAATAATAAATCCCATTTGTAAAATGGTCCTAAACCCCTAAATCAAAAGCCCAAACCTAAAGGTAACCAGCTAAATAGATTGAAAGACCAGGAGTCATCAGGTAAAGATTGTTGCAACCAATTGGCTTATTGTCTAATTTTATGTAGTTAAGTTTCTACTTTCCCAGAGGAATTTATCCAAGTGCAACAGGTAGTTTTTGCTATTGTACACACACCTCCTAAGTAAATAATCAAAGCTATTTTATGGTGTAAAACTAGTTTGATTAAATAATCAGCAGCTATTTTCTTGGTGGTGGAACTGACAAGTTTTCCCAGTCTCAGAGAGAGACTTACGATCATAGATTCACTGGCATGTACACCAGCAAGAGGGAAGAGTACTCTCCCTGTGGAGACAAGTCTGAATACCTCTTGAAAGTTTCCACTTGAGGTGGCTGTGAAGGTCTGGTGCAGAGGACCAAGGGGAGGATGAATGGGAGACCTCAGATTTATTATGGATGACAATACCAATAATCAAGTTCCCAGTGAGCATTGGCCTCTGATCTGCCAGCTAGCTAGGCATTCATAGGCCCATTGAGAGTGTCATTTGTCACAGACAAACCAGGTAGTGCCCATAAGACTACTGCTATGGATTCATCAAAGCAGGGTGTGGGGGACTGTGTGTGTAGGAGCCTTTCTTTTGAAGTAACAATCAAGGGAAAATTGGGTGAAATTAGCAGTAGCATTAGGAATGAGATAAGCAAAGGGGAAAAAAAAGATATGCAGGCTCCATCCAGTGATCTTGGGAGAACTCTCTGTATCAGATGATGTTTGCTTAAAGTTTAGAAAACTTTAGTTTTAGATCATTGGTCAGTATGCAAGTCTATTCAGGTGTTGGAACTTCCTTCCTGGGTGATACATGAATCCAAAAATCGATTCCTTGGAACATGGAAGGAAGTCTTTTGGGAGGTATCTTTTACAATAAACAAAATCTCCAGGCTGTAAAGTGTGTAGTTTGAGGTTTTCACTATGAAAAGATTGCTCTACTAAAGCCTGGTTCTTTTCAGTGGATGCTTGCTTTTATTAGTTGTGGATCAAAAGAGGCAGTCATTGCTCAGCTGGGTGTAGCTCAGTGGTAGAGCGTCGACCTAGGAACCAAGAGGTCACCGGTTCGATTCCAGGTCAGGGCATATGCCCAGGTTGCGGGCTTTATCCCCAGTGGGGGACATGCAGGAGGCAGCCGATCAATGATTCTCTCATCATTGATGTTTCTGTCTCTCTCTCCTTCTCCCTTCCTCTTTGAAATCAATAAAAATATATTTTAAAAAAAGAGGCAGTCATTAGATGCATGGGGAGCCCAATAGTTATTTAAAAATTTGAGAATTTAAGAGCTCCAAAGGGGTTGGATCTACGTTTTAGAAGGACTAACAGCAATGCCAATGGCCAAGGCATTTGGAGGGTTTCCATAAATTTTGCCAATTGAGTTTTGATGATGTGGTTGGTTCGCCAACTAGTAGCATTGGGAAGATTGATTAGGGGAATAGAGA